TGGGGAGCCGCTGGCATTAATGTGAGCGAGCGATTTGGCGGCTGCATCCATCAGTTTGCTCCGGAGCCACATCCTTCCCGAGCTCAGACAAAAAAAATGTGTGAGCCGGAGGCTAAAGAACTGCGAGCTGGCTCACACTAACTCAGCTTAGAGGGAATGCTGTCTCCATCTATTCCAACCATCCGATGTCCTCACCGTGATTTGACCTTGTTGAAAACTGGAAGCGACGAAAGTCCTTCGCTGGCTTTTCTTTCCGTTCTCTGCTTTCACACGGCTCACAGAGGCCAGCTATAATGCCTGTTTCACCAGCTTCTTCATGGGAAACCATGAAATACAAGCTTCAGAGATTCACCCAATTAAGTGTGGGTGGCCAGTCCTGGGTTTCCAAAACAGCAATAATTGCCGCGCTGTTGAATGAATGGATGGATGGATGGATGGATGGATGGATGGATGGATGGATGGATGGATGTGACTCTACCAGCAGTACCTTTCTGCTTCCAAGGAACTTGTACCTACCCTTTCATCTGGGGAGGAGGAGGAGGTATTAATTGTATTACATACATTTAATTGTTTATATAAATTATAATTTCCATCATTTTTCACGGTGTGTATATTTAGTTTGACAGCCTCTGGGAGATCTGGAGATCTCTTGGGAATACAACTGATGTCCAGGTGGCAGAGATCAGTCCACCTGGAGGCATAGGCGTAATCTTCGTAGGGGCGGCGGGGCTTCAGCCCCCGCTGAAATTTTCAGGAAGGTGCTCAGCCTCCCCCGGGAGCCACCCTTGCTCCTAGCAAAGCAATAAGATGGACTCTATGGCATTAGAGAGAGAGCCAGTTTGGTGTCATGGTGAAGTGTGTGGACTCTAATCTGGGAGAACTGGGTTTGATTCCCCACTCCTCTACTTGCAGCTGCTGGATGGCCTTGGGCAAGCCATAGTTCTGGTCAGAGCTGTTCTCTCAAGGACAGCTCTGGAAAGAGCTCTCTCTGCCCCACCTACCTCACAGGGTGTCTGTTGTGGGGAGGAGACGGGAAAGGGGATTGTAAGTGACTCTGAGACTCCTTTGGGTGGTGAAGGGTGGGGTATAAATCCAGTCTCCTCCTCTTCTTCTTCTTCTTCAAGATGGACTCTATGGCATTAGAGAGAGAGCCAGTTTGGTGTAGTGGTTAAGTGCGCGGACCCTAATCTGGGAGAACCGGGTTTGATTCCCCGCTCCTCAACTTGCACCTGGCTGGATGACCTTGGGCAAGCCACAGTTCTGGTCAGAGCTGTTCTCTCAAGGGCAGCTCTGGAAAGAGCTCTCTCAGCCCCACCTGCCTCACAGGGTGTCTGTTGTGGGCAGGAGACGGGAAAGGAGATTGTAAGTGACTCTGAGACTCCTTTGGGTGGTGAAGGGTGGGGTATAAATCCAATCTCCTCCTCCTCTTCCTCCTCCTCCTTCCTCTTCCTCTGTCCCTCTCCTCACCCTCCCCTCCTAAGGCTCCACCCCCAAAATCTCCAGGTATTCCTCAACCCAGAGCTGGCAATTCTACCAGTAAACAAGATCTGAGCCTCAGCACTCCGGCTTTTGTTCTTCCTATGATCCGTAGGACTTTAAACTGTAATCCCACTAATTGATTCAGCATTTATATGGAGATATGCACACACCCCTGGGTATTATGTATACACACACACACACATATATATATGTACAAAATTATAATGTACATATATATTCCTTTCAGAAGGTAGCCATGTTGGCCCGCAGTAGAGGACCTAGATTTGAGTTCAGGGGCATCTCAGACCGGATTATGTAAGGATGCCAGCCTTCAGGTGGGACCTGGAGATCCCCTGGAATTCCAGCTCATCTCCAGTCTACATAGATCAGTTCCCCTGGAGAAAATGGCTGCTTTGGAGGGTGGACTCTGTGGCCTTGTAGCCCACTGAATTCCCTGTCCTCCCCAGGCTCCATCCCCAAATCTCCAGGAATTTTCCAACCTGGATCTAGCAACCCTACCCCCCATCCCGCTGGTAGCTACGGAGCACCTGACAACCCTAGATTTTTGGCATATGAGCTTTCAAGAGTCAAAGCTCCCTTCATCAGATACAAACAGGAATGGCAATCCCTGTGCCTTTACCTCCCAGTCTGAAGGTGGAGGGGGGGTTGCAAAGAAGGGAGTCGGGAAGCAGAGGTGCAATGCAAAAATGGAATCAGCTTGATTAGAACAGAGGGGAATGTTAGGGGGCAAAAAATTAGCATCTGTAGTGAAATAAGAATCCTATGTCCCTATTCAGCCCTGGGGAGGGTCCTTTCCTCTGAAGTTGTGAATGAATTCAAGTTCAGCAATATCACATTGTAATCTCCCCTTGAAGCGTCTCGGAGGACTGCCACTCTGTATAGCCTGTGTAACTCCAGCTTTGTTACATTCCGGTGCTTAGTTGCCTTGAGTTTGGTAGGAGGGTGGCGTTCGACCACTCCCCAAAAAACTTTTCTCTCTCTCATGCTTGTCAGCAGCCCATGTCTTCAAAGCCTGAGTTGTTTCTTCTCACCACTGGACGCCAGGTGCAAGAGGGCCTGGCTCATCTTAGTGTTTGGAGTAGCTTAATTAATGATTTCTTGACTCATAGCCGGCACTTAGAGTATAAGATGCCTAGGTTTAGTTATGTAGTCTCGAATTCTGGCAAGCTTTGCTGTACCTGTATCAACCTGAGGCCCAGTGAATAGGAGCGTGGTCTGTTATTTCTGAAAGCTTGATAGTTTCTTATTAAAACCTCCTTCTAAGCAAACCTGGATCCTGCGTATTCTTTCCTTGGGATCACTGCAGACCCAGAACTTCTGACCACAGCTCCATTACACGCTCATAGGTCAGCGATGGAATGTCCCGGAAGATTCAAAAATTCTCCCACTGGTTTTTGAGAGTTGTGATTCTGGATGACAGATTTACACTCGTTTATCAGAGGTTAAGACTCTGAGCTGCAGACCGGAAGGTCTGTGGTTCGGCAGTTCGAGACCCGAGTGCCGCGTGACGGAGTGAGCTCCCGTCTCTGGCCCCAGCTCCTGCCAACCTAGCAGTTTGAAAGCAAGAAATTGCAAGTAGATAAATGGGTACCGCTTCGGTGGGGAAGGTAACAGCGTTTTGTGCACCTCGGCGTTTAGTCATGCTGGCCAGATGACCACGGAAGCGTCTTCGGACAGCGCTGGCTCTTCTGCTTGGAAACGGAGATGAGCACTGCCCCCTATAATCAGATTCGACTGGCCCTCGAGCAAGGGAAACCTTTACCTTTACCTATTTTTTGGTGTAAGGACGAACCTGTGTGTTCTTCTGAGCTGAGTATTCCTCTGAGCTGAGTCAGTGTGAGCCAGCTCAGTTTTTTAGCCTCCGGCTCACACATTTCTTTCTTAGCTCAGGAAGGAGGGCTCCAGAGCAAAGTAATTTATGCAGTCGCCAAATCGCTGGCTCACAACTGTAATGCCAGTCACTCACAAACTAGAATTTTTGCTCACGAGACTCCACAGCTTAGAGGGAGCATTGATGCATATCCGTGCATGCTTGCGCCATGTGCATCCTTTTTTACTTGCTTTCATTTCTCACGTCTAGGTTTCTGGTAAGAGGAGGGCCAATCTCCAGCCCTGACCTGGAAAGCCAAGGCTAGCCCCATCGTGTCAGAGCTCGGAAGCTAAGCAGGGCCAGTCCAGGCGAGTATTTGGATGGGAGACCTCCAAGGAAGTCCAGGGTCACGGAGGCAGGCAAGGGCAAACCACCTTAGAACTTATCTCTTGCCTCGTCTCCATAAACTGGCTGCAAGTCGATGGCATTTTCCACCAATACCAAGCAGGGTCGGCCCTGGTTAGTCCTTGGAGGGGAGACCACCAAAGAAGTCATGGGTTGCTATGCAGAGGCAGGCAAGGGCAACCCACCTCTGAACGTCTCTTGCCCTGAAAACCCTACGGGGTCACCAGAGATCAGCTGCGACTTGACGGCACTTTCCACCCCCACAAATCTCTAGTCCCCTGAAAGTCCAGAAGTCTTTCAGTGGGTACCTGAGAAAATGGCATCTCCTCTCGGCGAGGGGGCTGTGCCCCAGCAAGAAAAAAGCAAGACGGATGGAAGGGAAAGTGATCAAAAGCAGTGTTCCCTCTAAGCCGTGGAGCCTTGTGAGCAAAAACTCTACTTTGTGAGCTACAGGCATTAAAATTGTGAGTGAGTGATTTGGCTACTGCATAAATGAGTTGGCTCTGGAGCCATCCTTCCTGAGCTAAGGAGAGAAGAGATTGGATTTATACCCCGCCCTTCACTACCCAAAGGCGTCTCAGAGCGGCTGACAAACTCCTTTTCCCTTCCCCTCCCCACAACAGACACCCTGTGAGGCGGGTGGGGCTGAGAGAGCTCTGACAGAAACGGCTCTCTTTCAAGGACAGCTCTTATCAGAACTATGGCTTGCCCAAAGTCATCCAGCAGGTGCAAGGGGAGGAGTGGGGAATCAAACCCGGTTCTCCCAGATTAGAGTCCGCGCTCTTAACCACTACACCAAACTGGCTCTCACACAAAAATGTGTGAGCCGGAGGCTAAAAAAACCGTGAGCAGGCTCACACTGACTCAGCTTAGAGGGAACCCTGGTCAAAAGGTGTGGGAAGAAACTGAAAGTACATCTCCCAGATTCCCAGCTCATCTCCAGTCTACAGCGATCAGTTCCCCTGGAGAAAATGGCTGCTTTGGAGGGTGGCCTCTGTGGCATTGTACCTTGCGGAGGCCCCTCCCCTTCCCAAACACCGCCCTCCCCAGGCTCCACCCCCCAAATCTCCAGGTATTTCCCAACCTAGAGTTGGCAACCCTACGCCCCAGGTGGGGTCGTCAGCTCTGAACCCGGAACTGACCCTCGTGAGAGCGTCTGAAACGCCGCACTGGCAACCAACGTCTGCAGGCCGTGCGGCAAGCCACCATGGCGCCAAGTCATTCTGGTCTCCTCCCCATCTCCTCGCCTGCCACTGCGTCTGTTGTGCTGGCATCTGTCCCGCAGGCGGCAGAGCGTGCCAGGATCGCAAGCAGTTGGCCTCCTCTCCCGCTTGCAGGCGACGGAGTCCGTGCCGGACGGGACGGCAAAGAATCCCGGGGCTGCAGCCAAGTCGGGTTGCGCACTTTGCAGATTGCCTCTCGGTTGCAAACATTGGAAAGCAGAGGGCAGAAAGAGGCTTTGGTTGAGGCAGCGAGGCGATCGATCCATCTTTATTTGCGACGGCACCCAAACAGCAAATCAGTAACGTCATACATAACCGATATCAACAATTTGTTAAGATATGAATATTAAAAGCATGGTCTAAAGTAAAGGTAAAGGTTCCCTTGCTCGAAAGCCAGTCGAGTCCGACTCTAGGGTTGCGGTGCTCATCTCCGTTTCCAAGCCGAAAAGCCAGCGCTGTCCGAAGACGTTTCCATGGTCATGTGGCCAGCATGACTAAACACCAAGGCGCACGGAACGCTGTGACCTTCCCACTGAAGTGGTACCTATTTATCTACTTGCAATTTCTTACTTTCGAACTGCTAGGTTGGTAGGTCTAAAAGTAAGAGGTCAGCTAAGCTTTGCGGATACAATAACAAGCTGCACAGAACTTAGCTACAAGTTTGATAATGTTCTGATTATCATCTGATAATAAGTAATTGACATAGAGTCCATCAGGCCAGTTTGGTGTCGTGGTTAAGTGCCCGGACTCTAATCTGGGAGAACCGGGTTTGATTTTTTAATTTTTTTAATTTTTTGTATTTATACCCCGCCTTCCCCGCGAACGGGCTCAGGGCAGCTTACAAGAGGGCAATATATGCCCATACATAAAAACAGGATAAAAACAGTAAAACCAACGAATATTACAAATAAAGTGCTCAAATTTAAAGAAAAGGTGGTCATTCATTAGAGGTTGGTGGTTTTTCATGGAGGTAGGTAGTGTCCAGTAGATGTTAAACTGTCCGATTCCCCACTCCTCCACTCGCAGCTGCAGGTGTGACTTTGGGTCAGTCACAAGTCCTTTCAGAGTTGTTCTCTCAAGGGCAGTCCTCGAAAGAGCTCTCTCAGCCCCAGCTACCTCACAGGGCGTCTGTTGTGGGGACGGGAAGAGAAAGGGATTGTAAGCCGCTCTGAGACTCCTTTGGGTAGTGAAGGGCGGGGTATAAATCCAATCTCCTCTTCTTCTTCTTTTACCTCACAGGGTGCCTGTTGTGGGGAGGGGAAGGGAAAGGAGTTTGTAAGCCGCTCTGAGACTCCTTTGGGTAGTGAAGGGCAGGGTATAAATCCAATCTCTTCTTCTTCTACCTCACAGGGTGCCTGTTGTGAGGAGGGGAAGGGAAAGGAGTTTGTAAGCCGCTCTGAGACTCCTTTGGGTAGTGAAGGGCGGGGTATAAATCCAATCTCCTCTTCTTCTTTTACCTCACAGGGTGCCTGTTGTGGGGAGGGGAAGGGAAAGGAGTTTGTAAGCCGCTCTGAGACTCCTCTGGGTAGTGAAGGGCAGGGTATAAATCCAATATCTTCTTCTTCTTCTTTTACCTCACAGGGTGCCTGTTGTGAGGAGGGGAAGGGAAAGGAGTTTGTGAGCCGCTCTGAGACTCCTTTGGGTAGTGAAGGGCAGGGTATAAATCCAATCTCTTCTTCTTCTTCTTCTACCTCACAGGGTGCCTGTTGTGAGGAGGGGAAGGGAAAGGAGTTTGTAAGCCGCTCTGAGACTCCTTTGGGTAGTGAAGGGCGGGGTATAAATCCAATCTCCTCTTCTTCTTTTACCTCACAGGGTGCCTGTTGTGGGGAGTGGAAGGGAAAGGAGTTTGTAAGCCGCTCTGAGACTCCTTTGGGTAGTGAAGGGTAGGGTATAAATCCAATATCTTCTTCTTCTTCTTCTACCTCACAGGGTGCCTGTTGTGAGGAGGGGAAGGGAAAGGAGTTTGTGAGCCGCTCTGAGACTCCTTTGGGTAGTGAAGGGCAGGGTATAAATCCAATCTCCTCTTCTTCTTCTTTTACCTCACAGGGTGCCTGTTGTGTAGAGGGGAAGGGAGAGGAGTTTGTAAGCCGCTCTGAGACTCCGAGTGAAGGGCAGGTTATAAATCCAATCTCCTCCTCCCTTTACCAAAGGTAAGATATATTTGGCTCGAACTGGCTTGTACCATGGGCGCCTGAGAAGCATACGGTCAAGAGTTTTGACTTCTCCCAAATCACACTGACAAAGCCTCTGGTCGTAAGGTATCTTCCTGTATTTCCTCTCTAGGACGGCCGAGGAGAGGGCCGAGCGTATAGCTAAGGGGACAGCTTTTATCATCTCGTGATCATCGGAGACGGAAAGGTAAGTAGGAGGGAGAAGTCAGTGCCTGATTCGCTCAGACGCTAGATAAGCTGGGCATCGGGCTAAGTCAAACGAGGCAATCATCCTTCATTATAAGAAGTGAAGAGCTTCCGTATCTGCCGAGACTGTGCTCTTCCCTGGAAGGAGGAGATCTTGCTCCCAAAGAATTATGTACAAAGGGAATAGAGTGAACCTGATTCAGGGCCAGCGTCAACAGCACACACGTTTGGGCGGCTATTGAGGCCTAATGGCCTCAGGAGGGCCCTATGCTGGTGATACAGTTAATGCTCCCTCTAAGCTGTGGAGCAAAAATTCTACTCTGTGAGCTCCTGGCATTCCAGTTGTGAGCCGGCGATTTGGCTCCTGCATCAGTTAGTTTGCTCTGGAGCCGTCCTTCCTGAGCTCAGATAAAAACCTGTGAGCCGGGGGCTAAAAAACTGTGAGCTAGCTCACACTGACTCACCTGAGAGGGAACACTGTAGGTAGGTAACTCTGGGACTCAATGGACCAGGAATATATACTTCAAAGTCCAGAAGGGATATTCCGGAAACTGGTCCTAGCACACCCCATGCATAAAGGCGCACAGAAGTTCTGTTGCACTTGAATGGGCCTTGCCAGGTACGGCCTGTGCTGCCCAGCCCAGGCGCCAGCAGAAATCTTCCCTTGTTTTCCCTTTCTCTCTCTGTGGTGACTAGGGTTGCCAGCTCCAGCTGGGGAAATACCTGGAGAAGTTGGGGGTGGAGTCTGAGGAGGGCGGGGTTTGGGGAGGGGGAGGGAGGAAGAAGAGGAGTAGGAGGAGATTGGATTTATCCCCTGCCCTTCACTACCCAAAGGAGTCTCAGAGCGGCTGACAATCTCCTTCCCCTCCCCCTCCCCACAACAGACACCCAGGGAGGCAGGTGGGGCTGAGAGAGCTCTGACAGAAACGGCTCTTTTTCAAGAACAGCTCTTTTTTTTTAATTAGTTTATTTATGGATTTTCCGTATATATAACAAAAACAAATCAAACAAAACATCCACTTTTTTACATAGTATTTGTTGGAGTATAAGTTATACATTTTTTCCCATCCAATTATTAACTTTTTTCCACCTTTTCATAAACACATTGTCATCTCTCCCTGCTAACATCAGATTTAATCTGTCCATTCCCGCTAATTCAAAGATTTTTTCAATTGTCTCTTCCCTTTTAGGTATTATATCCGTTTTCCACTTGCTACTAGGATCATAGCTCCACCAAATATGGTAAAATGTTCCTATATTGTTTTTACATCTCCAGCATATTCCCGAAATATCTTTACAACACTTAGATAATTTATCTGGCGTCCAATGCCATCTATAGAACATTTTAACTGTATTTTCTTTGTATGACGTCACTATTAATATTTTAAAGAGAACAGCTCTGAGAGAACTTGTGTCCGACCTAAGGTCACACCTGCAGTCGCTTGTGAAGGAGTGGGGAATCAAACCCGGTGCTCCCAGATTAGAGTCCGCGCTCCTAACCACTATGCCACACTGGCTGTCTCAAGACTTCAGTGGGGTGTAATGCCACAGAGTCCACCCTCCAAAGCAGGGGAACTGATCTCTGTCTCCTGGAGATCAGTTGTAATAGCAGATCCCCAGCCGCCACCTGGAGGCTACACTACACAGGGATTGTTACTGTGATAAGTGTGCTAAACTAAATAATACAGTACTCCAAAAATCAGAAAACAGATGCTGTTTAAATAAATTAAAGTGATATGCTTTTTTTACAAGGTTGAAATACAAAAATACAGTCAGTTTCAAGTAAACAGAAGTGGTTCTTAACAAATCAAATTATGTTGGTTTTGTTGTAAATGTTTATTTGTAGATAGACTCTTGTTCGGAAGAAGGAATGTCGAAGCGACACAGGACGTTCCAGAGCACGACGTTGACATCATTTGCTTCGTTCAAAACCACTTCTGTTTATTTGAAACTGACTGTATTTTTGTATTTCAACCTTGTAAAAAAAGCATATCACTTTATTAAAACAGCATCTATTATCTGATTTTTGCAGTACTGTCTTGTTTAGTTTAGCGCACTTATCGCAGTAACAATCCCTGTGTACTGTAATATCCATATACTGTGTAGCATACTTTGTTTGCTTAACCACCCGGAGGCTGGCAACACGAGTGGACTCTCCTGGGAGGGCTGTGCCAACCCACCTCCTTCACTGGGATGCATGCCACCATCACAAGTGGAGGAGGTGGCGCCTTCTCTTCCTCCCGTCCTCCTTAGGCAGATAGTCAGAAGGCTGCCAGGAATGGCTCCTATCAGGGGTCATTTCCTGCAGGAGCACACAGGAGCGGAGCTCCGGCAGTAAAGAGCCCAGGGGGCGGGCACGTGCAACAAGCCCCGCTCCCTGCTCCCAGCAGCCCTCAGTCAGAGCAAGAAGCAGTCAGGTAAGCTGCAGAGCCCCCCCAGTCCAAAACAGTCCAGTGGCACCTTTAAGACCAAGTTTTATTCAGGTACAAGCTCTCCCTCCTCTGTGAGAGCAGATCTGCATGTTCCCCCCCCAATAGCTAGCAATCCAAAAAAGTCCAGTGGAGCCTGAGCGGTGGGTGTTGCCTTCTGACACACTTCCGGTGATGTCAGGGGGTGTGTCATATGCAAATAAATGATGCTAATGAGTTATGCTAATGAGCTCCTGCACCTCTTTTTCTACAAAATGACCCCTGGCTCCTATAGTGTCTGACCGCTGTCTACTTACCTAGGGGAGGGTGGCTCAATGGGAAAGCATCTGCTTTGCACACAGAAGGTCCCAGGTTCAATTCCCGGCGCCTCCCGTTAAAAGGATCACGTAGGAAGTGATGAGAAGAAGAAGAGAAGGAAGAGGAAGAAGTTGGATTTATACCCCGCCCTTCACTACCCAGAGGAGTCTCAGAGCGGCTTACAAACTCCTTTCCCTTCCCCTCCCCACAACAGACACCCCATGAGGCAGGTGGGGCTGAGAGAGCTCTTTTCAGGACTGCTCATGAGGGAAGAACTCCAAGAGAACTTGTGACTGACCCAAGGTCACACCAGCAGCTGCATGTGGAGGAGTGGGGAATCAAACCTGGTCCTCCCAGATTAGAGTCTGTGCTCCTAACCACTACACCTAACTGACCTCCGCCTGAGACCTTGGAGAACACCAGTCGAAATAGGCAACACTGACCTTGAGAGACCAAGGGACTGACTCAGGAGACGGTCGCTCCAAGTGTTTCCGGGTGTGGCGTACTGGCTATAGGAGTGTTGGGCTTGGAAGCCATAGAAGCTTGTTGGGTGACCGTGGGCCAGTCACATGCTCCCAGCGTAACCTTCCTCACAGGGTTGTCGTGAGGATAAAACGGAAGTGCAGAGAATGATGTAAGCTGCTTGGGGTCCCATTGGGGAGAAAGGCGGGGTAGACATTGAGTCCATAAATTCCAGGAGGAGGGGTTGGCGGGTCTCAGGGGGAGAGGTGACCAAGAAGCAAGGGTGCCTCCTAGTGGTGGGAGCTGCAACTGCTTGTCTACTCAAAACCTGGCCCTAACACCATGGGGGGGGGGAGATTGTATTTATACCCCGCCCTTCACTACCCGAGGGAGTCTCAGAGCAGCTTACAAACTCCTTTCCCTTCCCCTCCCCACAACAGACACCCTGTGAGGTGGGTGGGGCTGAGAGAGCTCTCTCAAGAACAGCTCTGAGGAAAACTTGTGACTGATTCAAGGTCACCCAGCAGCCACATGTGGAGGAGTGGGAAATCAAACCCGGTTCTCCCAGATTAGAGTCCGCGCTCCGAACCACTACACCAAACTGGAAGAAGGAGAAGAAGAGGAGGAGTTGGTTTTATACCCCGTCCTTCGATACCAGAAAGAGTCTTGAAGCAGTTTACAATCTCCTTTCCCTTCCTCTCCCCACAACAGACACTGCGTGAGGTGGGTGGGGGGGGCTGAGAGAGCTCCTTCGAGGACTGCTCTTGAGAGAACAGCTCTGAGAGAACTGTGACTGGCCCAAGGTCACCCAGTTTGGGAGCAAAACACAGAGGAGTGGGGAATCAAACCTGGTTCTCCAGATTAGAGTCTGCCACTCTTAACCATGACACTACACTACACTACAGCTCACATTGTCCTACTCACCCCTGTTTTATCCTCACAACAGCCCAACAAGGTAGGCCCAGCCGGGAATGTGCAATAGGCCCATGGTTATCCGGCATGCTTCCATGGCAGAGTAGGAAATCGAAACTGGGCCACACAGATCCTAGTACCGCACATTAACCTAAACAGCTCCAACAGTCCAGTCTTAAGTAGAGTAACACCTTTCTAAGACCGTTAACTTTAGTGGACGAAGAAGGGTATAGTTCTATTTAGGGTTTTACCACTTGAGGCTAAGAATGTCTTCCTTCCTTTTCCTCCCCATTTGTAAAGAATTATAATTCTATTTTTAAAAATGGGAAGCGTAGAGTTCTGGGAACCTACTCAGACAAACCTGAACAAATGTACTGAAATGTTAGGTCAGAATGAACCCTGCTTTTGAATCAAGATGAATGGGCTTTTTTTTGGTACATAGTTTTGTAAAAGCTGATGTTCCTGGGTCTCTGAACTCTCAAGTCGGCGTGTCACTTTTGTGTCCTTTTTAAAACACTGAAAGGGGAAAAAAACCTATTTTTCCATAGCCTCTCTTTACACTTTTCTCATTCCCAGGCTGCTGAAAAGCTCCTGCTGATGATTATATTTCTTTGCTTCCCCCAATCGCCTGAGGAAGCCTGAAGTCTCTTGCCGGAAATTTGAAGGCCTCTGGGTCACATCTAGGGAGATACTGGACACATTTATTTAGAGTCACACACACACACCCCACCCTGCAAAGCAGCTTCCAACGTGGTTCTCCCGTTCACCATTTTATCCTCACAACCACCCCCCCACCCCCCGTTAGGCTGAAATAGAGTGACTGGCCCAAGGCCACTAAATCAGCTTCCATGGAGGAATGGGGATTCGAAACAGGTTCACCCTGA